CAGCCAATATGTTACATTATTAGATCTGAAATCTACGTTACCGAAGAAATACAGTGTCATTACCGAAATAAATGCCATCCTGTTATATCATAGTTTCTTGTTCAAAATATTTCTGGCAAACTTGCAAAATACCCTAAACATTTACTTCAGCGATAAAAAATGACACAATGACAACATCAATTTTTCAATATTTTTCAACCTCAAATGCTTTATTTTATTGAGAATGGGCGCTATACAAACCTGGCAGTTTTTTTTAAATTCAAAATTCTACTATTGTTAGCTCCATTTTCACTTTTAAGTTAAGGTTTAATCTCATGTTTGACATTACTACAACTATATGGATTTCAAATGCAGAGACATTACACATACAGCCTCGGGTTGTGCATATAATAATAATCAAATGATACCAGTTAAACGAATAAAACTATCCCTTTACAGTGTACATTACTTAAAAGAGTTGTCGCCCTTCTAACTTTCTGTAAGAGACAACATTATTAATAATGTTATTTAATGTTATTATATAGCAAGATTCCTTTACTGTGCGTATCAAATTAATTACATAATGTACCGGTGATAACGTAGTAAATATCTCTATACTTTCGTACATTTCAAGAGAACGCTAGCAGTGTGTCTATGAAATAATTAAAGTGAAGTTCGATTTCTATGTACTTCCATTTTAATTATTAATATCTTATAGAAAATCTATCATTATAAATAAAATGGGAATGGGATATTTTATATGACTTAAATTTAAGTTTCTGTGATTGTATCATAATTTGCACTAACGTTACTTTCGTTCAATATTTTTATCAATGGCAGAAAAATGCTACCTGGGTTATTATATTACCAAGATGGCAGATGCTACGTAGACCCTTATCTCTCATGCTGATTCGGTCAACAAACATATACTGCCTGATATAGGCATTATTAAAAAATAATTGAATATTTTTGTGATGATGATGATTTTAGTTTTATTTTAGCTCGGCGCCGGAAATTCCATATGCCCGAGATCTTGGCGTCCATGCCGGTCCACTCTAGAAGTCACATAGGGAACGTCATTTTCATGCCGATCTTCCTTAACATGTTCTTCGTTCGTTGGAGGAAAGACAATACTGGCAATACACCATGTTCCGTGACGGCAGCAAACAGGCAACTAACATAAAACGGCTCTTGTTAACGCCACTCTTCAGAGTTAGTCACGACAGGTCGGTACTTGAGACAACTTGACCTTGACCCGTCATGTGCCTTCTCCGCGACGTCCAGGCCTCGGGAAGGATTTTGGGAAAGATTATTTACGTGAGTCTTTATAAATACTAATATTTTTACAATGACGCCAGCGGTCTCTCACCTCATCGGTGAGTACACGTCGCTGAGAAGGTACACGGCATCTACAGACAAATGAAGATACACTGAAACGTGTAATACGGCAAGTTTGCATGTTTTCTACAAAGAGTATTCATTTATCTGAGATTTCACACCAAGATTGTTAAGATCGGTGAAATATGATGAATATGTGCGAAAAATGAGATGCTGGTGATTTTTAAGTACCTTTAATTTTTTAGAGTCATATATTTTTTTCTTCATATACATTTGTAGTTGGTTTTCGTCAATACTTAAGATGCTTGTATGATTATGCTCATCTTTAAGTAAAATAATTTTCTCGCAGAAAGAAATTCTTACTGAATATGTCTAATTTGAATAGAAGAATGAATAAACAATGTATGGGAAGCTGCATTCCCATTTACAGGTCAAGCAAAGTTGATTCTTTCTTTAAAAAACTGTCAGTTTTTTTTAATGATCCTATATATCTATATTGTGGTCTCCTATATACCCTGTTTCAAGTTGGCGCCCATGGATGATGTCATGGGGGATACAGTGGACATTGCCGATACGATTACAATGTAAGTACATTAATAAAGGGATATAAAGATCTTAATCCTTACTCACGTAAGATGGGCATATTGAAATTGTGAATAAGATATTACATAAAAAGAATTGTCAAATGACATAATAAGGTTAACGGTTTGGTTATTACTAGATAGTGGCTTGGTAACTGATCATGGTTACCATTTTCGTTAGATTCTTAATAATGCAAATTGTCGCACCGTGTTTTACCTGACAGTTGCTTACTTGCTAATACACCGTACCAAGAGCTATTTTGAGTTTCAAGAATGCAAGTTTTTTTTGTAGTTTCGATAAACGGCTGCGTAATAATTAACTACAAGAAGATACTGGTTGAATAAATATTATTTTGAGTTAAGCATTGAGCAAATAAATGAGCATATTAACCAACCAATTGAGTAATGTTTTGTAAAATTGACAAGACAAAATGAAACACACAATTGTCCCGAGGACAATGGAAACTGACTCTAAAATTTCTTAAAAAAAATTACCAGGCTGGACCCCCCCCCCCTCTTCGTCAGCATCGGCAATAATCGAGCAAGGCATCGAACACTGAATATCTATCATGCTCTTAGTCCATTATTAAAACATTATCAAACATATGTTTGGCATTGTAAAGAATAAAAAAATGTAGAATTTGAGGCATAAAGGACCCTTATTTGTAATAATGGAAATGAAGTACTAATACGGGTTTATTTTTTGGACATCGGAGAGCTCTCAAACACTGGATACAGTGAGTGAGCAGAGAATAATCTCTAGAAATATGTCTACATTTAAAGTGAGAAAAACTGTATATCTTGTGTCAGTTGTTTGTAAAATTACTTTTTTTTCTTATTTATGAAAAAAAGAAGAAAAAAGAAGAAAAGAAAGAATAACTCTAAACTAATGTTATGGAATAAATACAAAATATATGTTTGTATACTTTCTTAAGAGAAGGTGGCACTTCAAAACAGTTAAAGGGACAGCAAAATATTTTGTTCCCGAACATTATATTGTTTACGCACAGTATTCAAGTTGTTAAATAACAGAGACATTCTACATTATAGCATAAAACCACCTGGGAACAGTTGGGGCCCTCGCCCTCCTGGGACTCTGCAAATATTATAACACGGAAAAATTATATGACAACTCTTTCGAGAATCATTAAAGCGCCAAGTCTATTATATTGACCTCCAAGTCAGAAGAACTTAAGTCTGCAGCTTGGCTTTCGTAAAATACTGACGAATTAGACACTATATATACAGTGAGGCCCTTAGTGTAGTCAGGGTCTTTCAAATAGAATTATAGTGAACAATTTCTTAATGGTAGGGAAAAGGAAAAGAGATAAGCGTCTGCATGCTTCAAGACACCAGTTACTGGCGACTACTTCCTTTTGTCGTGTGTGTGTTTTGTTGTTAGCTTTGCGACAAATACATTTCTGCGCGCATGATTTAACTTTCTTGAATCACATTATCTCGCTATTTTTATGTTAACATGTTGCTTTACAACATTTATTCATGAGGTTGATAGACCGACTGTTTCCTTTCTTGAAAATGAAATCTTTAAGGACTCGTCCTATCTTCCTGTGTTGAAGGTAATAGCAGCCAACATCAAAAATTTAACTTTAAATCAGTAATCTGATCAAAAATTTAAAAAGTAAACTCAATGTTAAATGAGAGTAGTACGAATGAATCAGTGAAAATATGGTCACTTGCTAATAATAAGAAACAAAGGCTAGTGTCGCATAAAAAGCAGGGATCGGCTTAAAGTGTCGAGTATTTTCGTATCAACCGGTTACCATACACATTTCCTATAATTTCAGTCATTTTTTTAATAACCTAATTTTTTTTTCCAAGAACGAACCAGGGACAAAAAGTGTGACCGGCAGCCGGATCGGAATTCCAATTAAAGTGTGTGCAATTTCAACATTTATCAAAGAATGCAATTGTCATGTAAAAAAAAACCCTACTGTATAAACAAAAACATGACCTGAAGCCAGTTTGTTTTCTTTCAATGTACATAATGTTTTCTGGTTGTAAACATTTAAGCTGGACTTAACAGTCATTTTATAGCATTATTAGGGTGTCTCTCTTTCTCGTTTAGTGCACACGCTTTCTATTACTTGGGGACCATTACGCCGCTTTAATAGAATGGAAGTGTCACATTGAAGGTTCCATGATTAGGTTTTTGCTTTCGGTTGCCATGGCAACCAGAGTTCTGCACGGAATTAAATTCTTTAAACAATTTTAAAGTTGACTACCAAAGGAACATTCCTGTGAAGTTTTGATGAAATTGGCTTAGCAGTTTATGAGATGTCGTTTAAAGTAAAAGTTTTACGGACGGACGACAAGCGATCACATATGCTCACCATGATTTTGGAGAATAAAGGGTACATGTATATTTGGAGTAAACATATTTATAAATTCATACATTGTAATCTCCCTTTGTATATGTACACTAATATATCTCCCTTTGTTATATGTACAATAATATTTTGTTATATGTACACTAATAAAAGGATTTTGACCCGAGGTGGTCCAAAACTGCGCTCTGCACATCTTCTCAGTAATATAAATATTTCTGCCAAATAGATTTAATTTCATTCTATTAATACAAAATGACTAAGTGTGACCTTGACCTTCACGAAGGTCAAACCTGCGCTCTGCACATCACACCGTCTCATTATGGTTATCATTTCTGCCTAGAAGTTTTAATTTCCTTCCATCGGCTCAAAAAGATACAGACCGGACACACAAATTCCTATATAAATCAATAAATCCCCATGGTTGGGCCCATTTTAATCGTAGAAAGTCCAAACTTGTGTTCTGGACACCTTCATATAAGTATAATATTTCTGCCAAAAAGTTTTAATTGACAAAGTGTGACTTTGACCTGACAATGGTCAAACCTGCGCTCAACATTTCTGCCAAGTTTCAATTTTCCTTCCACCAGTTCAAAAAATACAGACCTGAGAAGAAAACCTGCTAGCAGACGGACGGACAACCAGGTGCTTAACAATATACGCCGAAATTCATTTGGGCGTATAAAAAGGGCACACAGAATAAAAAAATTTCAGGACTTTTACTCTTAATTAAAGAAAAACAACACAAACACAAGTGTTCAGTGTGAATCATTTATCAACATTTCTGACATGAAAATAGACACAAAATAACAGCTGGCACAAATGTAAATTCTATATGACCACTTGAATTTCTTACTTTTCTTTGTTTTTATTATAATCTTGTTTGTCTTAAATGAATTCATTGCTTTAAAGTTTTGACATACTTAATAAGAATTTTGACACATCAATTATTTCATGCAACAAATACAACTAAAACATCATGAACAAGAGTATCAAGAAATTAAACAAGAGTTATCAAATACCTTCTAGAGTATTTTTTCCACATGTTAAAGCTGAATGCCTCCAGATGAGACATATAGTTCAATAAAATAAAACCTGGGGAAAATATACTAATATTTAAGGAAAATCAAACAGATTAAAGATTTAAATAATAATTCACATGTTGTATGCAAATAATGATCGATTGTTAAGTATTTCTCATTTTACTGCGTTAGGCAGTAAATGCTATTTAAAAAAAATATGTTGACCTCATTTTGGTAATTTACACGGGTTGTGTGTGCAATTTGTAATGTGTAAATTGCTTCTTTTTTTATTACTTCACAATATTTTACTTTAAAATAAAATTTCCATGAAAATTTGCATGAATCTGGAAAAACCGTGACATAAAATGATCATATAGTAAGGATGAATGTTATGAATGTGTTACCACTTGCCCGCCACTGTTGCTAATATTTAATACTCACACAAAGTATTCAGTCATGCAGTATCAATATGTTTCACACACATTTACTCCAGTATCTCTAAAACTGTTTTATATACATAATTAGTATTTACAATGTACCCCCCCGACAGCGTGCAATACCTTGAATATCATACCACACACAGATCAGGTATTCTTATGTTTATTGTCCAATTTTAGACCTGAATTGAATTTCTACCAGGACAGGTTCACACAGTCAACGACGATTTACAACTCAGTTGGTTTTTAATAACAGTTTGTACTAACATTCCATCTGCGATGAAGTAATCAACTCCTGTACAAAATATAACTCATAGTTCCAGTTAAACAATAAATATGGAAATGTATCAAATATAGAAAAAATATGAAGGTCTATCATAACACCTTTTTTTTTGATTTTCATAACAGTATATCCAATTCATTGGTCTACAATGACTGTAAATAAACATTTCATATCCAATAAGTTAACCTAAATTTAATCTTTACCAGGTGATTTTCATTAATTACTTTGTGCTCTTCATTTACACAATTTACTCCCCCTTTGAATAGATGCGAGTATGATGCACAGTTTGGTGTAGAGTAAATATAAATGGTTTTCATTGATTCTCAATTGTCACACAATATTCCTGATTTTTGGTAAGTTATCTCCCTTTATTTGTTTTCATTAGTTTTCCTTTTTTTGTCTCATTCCAGTACAACAATATCTTCACCAAGTTGAGGTTTAACACTGAGACTTCTCCATGGATTACGTGCAGCCCTCTTAAACTCATGAGTGTGAAGCTGTTTACGCAATTTCCTGCAAATAGAAACACACTTTATTAACCACAGAAATAAAAATTCAAAATTATATACACTGGAAACAACAGTAATATACCAATTACACAAGAACCATGTTAATATAGATACGGTAACTAAAAAATTGGGAAAAGCCATGCAATTATACAATTAGATCAGTGCAAATAGAGGGCCACATCTGCTGAAATATAAACATTTGAGCCGTGTCATGACAAAACCAACATAATGTGTTTGCCACCAGCATGGATCCAGACCAGCCTGCGCATCCGCGCAGTCTGATCAAGATCCATGCTGTTCGCTTATCAACTCTATTACAAGTAGAGAAACTGATAGCGAACAGCATGGATCCTGATCAGACTGCGCGGATGCGCAGGCTGGTCTGGATCCATGCTGGTCGCGAACCCATTATGTTGGTTTTTGTGAATGTCATAACACGGCTCATTTCACCTTAAAATCAGTGGTTAAATGAATCATTTTTGATAAACCAACTTTGGTTTATTTAATTCCACTTAGTACTACAAATATGTCGCACAATTCTGATCATTTACTGATTGGGCAGTTACCACAAATGAATACAGTATCAAAGTAGCATGTGATAATTTTTCCTGGTAACTATACCAGTACTTTTGTTACTAACAAATATATCAGTTAATTTACACAAGTAAGTGGTGAAAGATGATACTTTTGAATTTTTTATCTTCAACTTTTTCCTCACTTAATAACATGTATATAACCTAACAAATTTAAAAACCTGGAACTTGCACTTTTAAGAGCCAAACTCTGGGTCACCAAGAAGATTGATAAAATTAAATGAAGTTAATAACTTCATCAATGCACTGTTTCCAGTATATATCAGTAACATAATCTGCATCTTACATTTTTCTTAAAAGTAGGTTTGTGATATTTATCTTATGTTAAAACTCTGAAAACACCTCTTAAATTGTACAAGCAAAATTCACAGGGATGAAAAAAACACAGGGATATCATGAGTGACAACATACTTAGTTGCTGACGTGGCCATGAAATATACATCATCGGGCGCATCTATCCAGCTGATCATATGCATGCGAAAACCTTTGGATAACATCTTCCCACGGCCATTCATACTGTGGGTCATCAAATTACCACGCTGTAAAACACAACATCAGTGCAATCTCTCTAATATCATGCAAGGTGTGTACAAACCTCAATACTCATTCTGTATTTGGTATATATTACATTATAGCATAAAATCGGCTATTTTTCCCTATTTTGCCCATGTTATAACGGGACCAAAACCATGTGTTAACATAGTCACGCGCTCTTGTTATAGCCCGGTTTCACCTATGCGCAATACATACAGGGCCCAGTAAACAAACAAAAAAATGACGATTTGGCCTGTTTGCCAAAGAGTCATGTGCTCTTGTTATATTGAAATGGCCTCAATCGCATTTAATACGGCGAGCAGCATTCAAGTAACTATGCCGGAAATACGGCGTATATACATCGCTGCTAATCTTGGTTGTCGCCCTTTCTAAGAAACGGACAGTTGTCAATGTAAACAAATTACTGGCATTCAGTTTAACCCTCCGATTAACTTACAAAACAGGATAACACAAAATGAATATGAGAACATGTTGTTTTATTGATGCTTATGTTGATAAATGCTCTTTATATTTCTTTGAGAGAATAATGTTTAGTGCCTGATTTTTTTTATAAACTTGTGTGCTTGAAAAAACCCGATTCTGATGACGTCACTGATCATTTTTCTACCGTCAATCTGAAATCATTCTAAGAATTTCTGAGGGTCATGTTTTGTATTTGGAAGAGTAATGTAACGTTGTTGTTTTTTTTTCCTTGAGATAATATTTCTCCAATGTCAAGCTTTATAATATCAATTAAAATTCAAAATTTCGTTCGGTTCGTTGTTGGCCCCGGAAAAATAAAACGCATACGTAAAACATGTAGAATTGGATAAATACCGTCCAAGCACAAGGATTTAATGTATTGTGTTTTGTATTAAATATACATCATGAATCTGTTTTAAAATTTTATGCTATAATAGTGTCAACGCACGTTTATTTCGTGTTATAAAGTCTGCAGAGTCCCTCAGAACTGTTGGAGCCCTCGCCCTACCGGGCTCGGGCACCAACCGTTCCTCGGGACTCTGCAGACGTTATAACACGGAAAAACGTGCGTTAACCCTATATTATAGTTCCTACATACAAAAATGAGCAATTCCAATCAAACAATAAACTTAAATTCTCATATTCAAACATATTTCAATGGAAACAGAATTTTATTTAAAACTTAGTCCTTTCTGCTACTTTTTTCTCTTTGATTTAAAATCTACACCAAAATATATCCGGTAGTCCAAATTTCCAATAAGAATTTACTGCTTGCCTTTGCCTTTTGTCCATAATAATTTGACATACAAAATTATTTAAACGTATCAAAGAAAATTTCATACACTCAAATGGTTTTCAGATGAATTCTTCAAATTATAGTTAACATATAACCCTTATCCCACTCAATCAAAAATTGATTAGCCTTTGCCACCAGTATAGAGCCTGGTCAGACTGCACACCACCACTATAAAGCCCAGGCAAAATGCACACCACCAGTATAGAGCCTTGTCAGCCTGCACACAATCAGAAAAGAGCCCGGGCAGATTGCACACCACCAGTATAGAGCCAGGGCAGCCCGCACACAATCAGAAAAGAGCCCATGCAAAATTATCACCACCAGTATAGAGCCTTGTCAGCCTGCACACAATCAGAAAAGAGCCAGGGCAGATTGCACACCACAGTATAGAGCCTTGTCAGCCTGCACACAATCAGAAAAGAGCCAGGGCAGATTGCACACCACCAGTATAGAGCCTTGTCAGCCTGCACACAATCAGAAAAGAGCCCGGGCAGATTGCACACCACCAGTATAGAGCCAGGGCAGCCTGCACACAATCAGAAAAGAGCCAGGCAGATTGCACACCACCAGTATAGAGCCAGGGCAGCCTGCACACAATCAGAAAAGAGCCCGGGCAGATTGCACACCACCAGTATAGAGCCAGGGCAGCCTGCACACAATCAGAAAAAGAGCCCGGGCAGATTGCACACCACCAGTATAGAGCCTTGTCAGCCTGCACACCATCAGTATAGAGTCAGGGCAGCCTGCACATCACCAGTATAAAGCCAGGGCAGCCTGCACAACACCAGTATAAAGCCAGGGCAGCCTGCACACCACCAGTATAAAGCCAGGGCAACCTGCACACCACCAGTATAGAGTCAGGGTAGACTGCACAACACCAGTATAAAGTCAGGGCAGCCTGCACACCACCAGTATAAAGTCAGGGCAACCTGCACAACACCAGTATAAAGTCAGGGCAACCTGCACAACACCAGTATAAAGTCAGGGCAGCCTACACAACACCAGTAAAAAGTCAGGGCAACCTGCACAACACCAGTATAAGTCAGGGCAACCTGCACAACACCAGTATAAAGTCAGGGCAACCTGCACACCACCAGTATAGAGCCAGGGCAACCTGCACAACACCAGTATAAAGTCAGGGCAGCCTGCACACCACCAGTATAGAGTCAGGGTAGACTTGGAACACCACCAGTATAGAGTCAGGGTAGACTGCACAACACCAGTATAGAGCCAGGTAGCCTGCACACCAGTATAAAGCCAGGGCAACCTGCACAACACAGTATAAAGTCAGGGCAGCCTGCACACCACCAGTATAGAGCCAGGGCAGACTTGGAACACCACCAGTATAGAGTCAGGGTAGACTGCACACCACCAGTATAAAGTCAGGGCAGCCTGACACACCACCAGTATAAAGCCAGGGCAGACTTGGAACACCACCAGTATAGAGCCAGGGCAGACTTGGAACACCACCAGTATAGAGCCAGGGCAGACTTTGAACACCACCAGTATAGAGCCAGGGTAGACTGCACACCACAAGTATAAAGCCCAGGAAGCCTGCACACGACCAGTATAGAGTCCGGGCAGATTGCACACTTACCAGTATAAAGCCCAGACAGCCTGCACACCACCAGTATAAAGCCTGGGGAGCCTGCACACCATCAATATATGGCCCAGGCAAACTGCACACCACCAGTATAGAGCCCAGGAAGCCTGCACACCACCACTATTAAGCCCAGGCAGCCTGCACACCACCAGTATAAAGCCAGGGCACACTGCACACCACCACTATTAAGCCCAGGCAGCCTGCACACCACCAGTATAAAGCCAGGGCACACTGACACCACCAGTATAAAGCCAGGGCACACTGCACACCACAAGTATAGAGCCCAGGAAGCCTGCACACCACCAGTATAAAGCCAGGGCAACTTGCATACCACCAGCATAAAGCCTTGGCAGCCTGCACAACACCAGTATAAAGCGAGGGCAACCTGCATACCACCAGGATAAAGCCTGGGTAGCCTGTACACCACCAGTATAAAGCCAGGGCACACTGCACACCACCAGTATAGAGCCGGGCAGCCTGCACACCATCAGTACAGAGCTTGGGCAGATTGCACACCACCAGTACAGAGCCTGGCCAGCCTTCACACCATCAGTAACTGCACATGACCAGTATAGAGCCAGGGCAACCTGCACACAACAAGTATAGAGCCCTTGCAGATTGCACACCATCAGTATAGAGCCCAGGCAAACTGCACACCACCAGTATAAAGCCTAGGCAGCCTGCCACACCATCAATATATGGCCCAGGCAAAACTGCACACCAACAAGTATAAAAGGCCAGGGCACACTGCACACGACCAGTATATGAGCCCAGGAAGCCTGCACACGACCAGTTAGAGCCAGGGCAGATTGCACACCACCACTACAGAGCCCAGACAGCCTGCACCACCACGGGCAACCTGCACACCAACAGTATTAAGTCAGGGCAGCCTGCACACGACCAGTATAAAGCCAGGGCAACCTGCACACCACCAGTATAGAGCCAGGGCAGCCTGCACACCACCAGTATAAAGCCAGGGCAGTCTGCACACCACCAGTATAAAGCCAGGGCAGCCTGCACACCACCAGAATAGAGCCTGGGCAGTCTGCACAACACCAGAATAGAGGCCAGGGCAGCCTGCACACCACAAGTATAAAGCCTGGGCAGCCTGCACACTATCAGGAAAGAGCCCGGGGCAGATTGCACACCACCAGTATAGAGCCAGGGCAGCCTGCACACCACCAGTATAGAGAATGCAGACTTAACACCACCAGTATAAAGCCGGGTAGCCTGCACACCACTAGTATAGAGCCCGGGCAGCCTGCAGACTACAAGTATAGAGCCTGGGCAACCTGCACACAACAAGTATAGAGCCCTTGCAGATTGCACACCATCAGTATAGAGCCCAGGCAAACTGCACACCACCAGTATAAAGCCTAGGCAGCCTGCACACCATCAATATATGGCCCAGGCAAACTGCACACCAACAGTATAAAGCCAGGGCACACTGCACACGACCAGTATAGAGCCCAGGAAGCCTGCACACGACCAGTAGAGCCAGGGCAGATTGCACACCACCACTACAGAGCCCAGACAGCCTGCACACCACGGGCAACCTGCACACCAACAGTATTAAGTCAGGGCAGCCTGCACACGACCAGTATAAAGCCAGGGCAACCTGCACACCACCAGTATAGAGCCAGGGCAGCCTGCACACCACCAGTATAAAGCCAGGGCAGTCTGCACACCACCAGTATAAAGCCAGGGCAGCCTGCACACCACCAGAATAGAGCCTGGGCAGTCTGCACAACACCAGAATAGAGCCAGGGCAGCCTGCACACCATCAGTATAAAGCCAGGGCAGCCTGCACACCACCAGTATAGAGAATGCAGACTTAACACCACCAGTATAAAGCCGGGTAGCCTGCACACCACTAGTATAGAGCCCGGGCAGCCTGCAGACTACAAGTATAGAGCCTGAGACCCTTTCAAATCCATGAAGTCTGACCAGGATCTATATTGTTGATTGACTAACCCTAAATTTTCATCTTGTTACCTCAAAATTGATATTGGGCATTTTTTACATGTAAAGTGGACAAGTCCATTTAAGAAATTTAGCAGATTAGGGGTTAAAAGAAAGGTGCATGTAACCATTGTGATTTTCCAAATAAAAAATAATAAAACTTACAATTTGTGGTCTCATGGCAAGGCTGGCTTGTTGTCTTATTACTCCCATACTGGGCCTCTTTGCAGGAGGACCTGAAATGTTAAGACAAATGGCATCCACAATATTTTTCTTTTTGAAATGAAATAATCACTTATCCAATTAGTCATTAGGACATGACCTTATTAGCCAAAATATATCTTGGATTTGAAGACATTCACTACATTCAGCTATTAGTTGGTCAGTATTTTTGAGTATTTTGGTCTTAAAGTTCTTAATTTGGACAAGATGCTGTTCTAAATTCAAAGCAGAATATATCAATGTGTTAAATTCAGTCAGGAAAGTGTTTAACCTACATGTAGCTTTGATCTTGGTAAGCTGATCAGATAAAGTACAACAAAATACTGAATTGATATTTTCCATTGTTTTCTAATTTCTGTATATAGACTGCAAGTTAAAATTTTATTTAAATTTTATTTTGTTAATGAGTAACAACAAATACAAACTGGTAATAACATACCTGAATCCATTCCATTGGTGTTTTCATAACCTCTTTTCTTCATGATTGAAGGTCCTTGATTAGGGGACTTGTTCACAACATCCAACGGTTTTTCTGAAAATAAAATTCAACATTTTGATAACATTATAAACCAAGATTAAGTAAAGTATGAAAGTAAGTAAAGTCCACATGTAACCATGATACTCTAACATACTTTAACTCTTTACACACTTTTATACAAATCTAAACTTTTTAATATCAAGGATCTTTCAATGTCAAAGTCACACTGAAGAGCTTAGTAAGAAATGCTTTAATTCTACATACTGGGACCTTGGACGTTACAATTTTAATACAGCTTGTCTTAGGCCACTAATACTACAGCAATGTATTACAAAATAATTTGACACTTATGTATAAATAAAAGTGAGAACTGATTTTATTAGAATGTCACCATGTTTTATTTACAGATCTATACCAATAATATACATTCATCTACTTTCAATTTTAACGATTCCCAAACCTGATTCGCAAAATTTTTCCAGTGAAATAATAACAATAAAAGAGCTATCTGTAAGACAGTGTGCTCGACTAATCTCATTGCTTGACAGTAAGACAAGGTACATTACTGTGTCCATCATGTTTCATTATTACATAGAACAAGTGTGTGAAGTTTCAACCCATTCCCTTCAGTTGTTGGAGATACCAACTTGCACACAAAAACTAAACCAAAATGTAACCCTGATGGTTGTACAACCCTATCCTTCCAATAGTCAAGCTAAAAATTGTAAACTTACGTTTTGAAGGTGAAAGTGGAGGAAAGAACAGTTTTTCTGGTTGTTTTGCAGGACCATCAGGTCTTTCTAAGATAGCTGGTTTTTCCTGGGTGACATCTATTCCAAGTCGTTTAACTATTGGTTGTATCCGACTCCTTGTTGACATGTGCTTTGGCAACTTAAAATTACCTCCCCTGTCCGTCAATCTTGATTGGCCTGAGAAAAACAAGAAGATGTAATTCTATTCTATAACATGTGTTGGCATTTGGTTTTATCTTAACGGTTTCAATTTACTCAAATGTTTCAAAAGTTATTATGAATATCACAGGTTGCCTCAAGAAATTGTCCATGCATATGAAAACTATGAGATTAGAATGTACCATGTCAAGCTTCCAAACGCAGCTCCATACAATTTAATCAAAGGATCACTACACAGACTAGTCAAAAGGGCGAAATATCTAGTACTATGCTACATGACTTTAGAAAGAACAATGTAAAGATAACTCACATTCTGTCTTTATTGTGGTGATGTTTATTGGTATAAATGGAGATCGTGCTGCATGTCGTGGTCGGAGAAGATCATTACATAAATATCTGGAGATTCGGGTTAGTGGCGTCGTCACCAAACAGAATGCTGCTCGTGTTTTCATGACAGGACGTGGACTGCCCGCTCTTATTGCAAGTCCATGGGCAGTTGCTAAATGTCGTGCCAAATGGGCTTTTAATCGGAATTCCTACATAAAAACAAAACAAAATAATACCATTAGATTTAAAAGTACAAATAACATATTCATAGTAAAACTCAAAGTGATCTTAAGATTTATAATTATCTACTACACAAATTTTTCTATCTCCAACGTTTTGAGGGGTTAAACCCCTCTTTATCAAGGAGTTACTGTTTATTTTTATATAAATCACATATTTATCTTCTTACATGTCTTATCTTTAACTATGTTATGCAGATAGATCTTAAGATTAAAACTATAATATACAATAGTATTTCATACATAGTGATCACAATATACACATACCAGGAAACTTTTCAGTGGGACTCATTTACTAGATACAGCTTTCAATTTGTAAGGTTTCGAGTTCCGAGATTTTTTCCAACCAAAATACACATAACAATAGATTTTTTTGTTAAAATCCATGTACTATGAATTTAGTTTCATTTGTTAACTTATAAATGCCTGTCAAGCAAAATTTACCTTTCCACAACCAGTGATTGTACATCGATGTAATCTTAAAAGATTGTTGTGTGCTACCCTCTCTGAAATACATAATGATTCAACATGTCACAAACTATCAAATGATGTCAGTTGTTTTTTGATGAAATATAATCATTCTGTATTTCTTTATATTACCATACCTTTAATATAGAAAAGACCTTTTGCCACAACCTCGCTTTAATAAACTTTCATATCCTCGTTTAATATATATAGCTACATGAAATGTCAATATAAGCTTAAAGAACCTTACCTTGTCTCTGGGCAGGAGGGGGCCTTTCTCCATCTATAATACAAATATCATATATTTCATTTATTATATACAAGTAAATGGCGATTAATATATACAAGTAAATGGTGTATGTTCCATTATATAAACACTTTTAACTTTTACCCAGCTAGAACTGTAAGTGATTACCCTTTGACACTAGTATAGAGCCAACAGTATAGCTGACCAACCCAAATTTTTATCTTGATATCCCCATAATAAATTATTGACAGTACCATAATGAAAACTAGACAAGTCCATTAAGAAATTAAGCAGGGTAAGGGTTTCTGATTTACAATGTACAGTGATCTTTTATCTTAAAAAAAGTAGAAAAAACCAAGAATCCTCATTGGTAGCACCATTTAATTTGTATAATTTATCCGATAGTTTTACCACAGAAAAATTAATTTTTACTGCATTTGTTTTGTTAGTTTCTTTTAAAGTCATGCTTTTAAGTGAAACTGTTACGGTTATTCTTTTCCAGCCATACTGATGAAGGAAGATATAAAACAACCCTCCTTGCATTCTTTCAGCTCCAAACAGGCACTCAAGTTTAATACTTCAGTAAGATAGTTTCCTCTTTTGACAAAATCCAAAGTCTCAGGTGTGATTTAAACACAAAGAAATGAATTGAAGTAATTCAATTAAAGTTGGCAACATTAACCACATGGCAACTGATACCCCCTAACTGCATTATCCCTTAGCTTGCTTTTGGCATCTGTTTTTTCCCAAGCAACCAGTGCAGACCAAGATCAGTCTGCACTTCTGTGCTGTCTGATCATGACCTGCACTATTCTCTATTCAGTCAGTAAAAATTTTCAAATTATTTCTGGTTTTGATGGCCAAGTCAAATTAAGATATGTAGTGGTTCAAGAATTTGAGCTGCAATTCACAACAACAATCCAATGAAACACATGTCACATGAATTCCAATTTCTTTACCAATATTAAAACCAATATTTATGTATATACAATAATTCGACATACCAAGCCGAGTTGGCATTTTTAATCCACCATACTTTTTCCAGTAGATCCAACAAGATGAACACAATCTACACTGCATGTGAGTTGGTCCCCATGCATACCACTGAGTTGAATGGGCAGCTTAAATAGAACAAATTATTATATGAGCCGCGTCATGACAAAACCAACGTTATGCGTTTGCGAACAGCATGGATCCAGACCAGCCTGGGCATCCGCGCAGTCTGATCAGGATCCATACTGTTCGCTATCAGTTTCTCTTCCATTTAATATGTAGGATAGTTAGCAGTCTATGATACTATTCAAGGAAAGCAAGTAAAGTCTGACAGCTAGAGTAAAAACATTAAATGTCTTGTTTTAAACATTTTATTATTAAAGAATCAACCATTTATTTTATAAGACGTGTAGAAACTTCAATAGTAATGAAGTAATAGTTACCATAGCAGCTTTCACATGCCCTCCCCGACACCTGACCATCTATTCCATTCATTTTACCATTGATAGCTGCTGGATTAGGCTTGTTGCTAAAATATACATTGTCAATATGATATCATAAAGAAGAAATCTTCAAGTATAACAAGCAATACATAGCAATTTTTTTGTGTTATGCTGGATGGCATAATGATGAATAAAATTATTTTGTTTTGCTTGATTTCATAATGGTCATCAAAAGTATTTTCTGTTTTGCTAGAGACTAAGAGTGCATAATGACCAAAAAGAAAACTATTTCTTTCTTGTCTACAATGTATAATGGGTAATAAATGTATTTTTTCTGTTCTGCTAGAGTACATAATGGCAAATGATACTGTATGTGTATTTAAATTCGCGGAAGCAAATTTTCGCGGAAAGGACCACTTTGGGGGGTCTATACAAATATTCGCGCTATTTTGAATTCGCGGAGTTGACTGCCGAAAATCATAAATTCGCGTTGACCACTCAAGGAAAATTACAGAACTGTCATCATCGCGGGAGTTCACAGTTATTTTCAATATCAGGTGTCGAACAATACGCTATTGTACAGAATAAAAGACACTGTCTAGCGGACAGATTATAGCAAAACAAAAGAATGCCCGTGCATGATTTTTCACATTTTGCGTCACAAACGTCTTGACAACTGATCAGATCATGTTTTGGTTTTTCCTAACAAACAATACAAAAGAAACACAATCATAACGATTTAAATGATGAATAACTTGGAAAACAAACACAATTACTCAGAAAACATTTAAATAAAAGTGTGAAAGCATATCACACACTGATATACATTGTTCTATAGAAGCGCGAAAATATGACTATTAAGAAATTATTGGTGTAGAAATATTCGCGCTAAACATGAATTCGCGGATTGAATGTCACCGCGAAGATCGCGAAAATTTGAAGCCCGCGAATATTTCTACACATACAGTATACTGTAGACATAGGAAATGTGACCTATTTTGTAAGATTTACTTACTAGTTGGGAATGTAGACTTGCTTCAACTTGCTCTCTGCCTCAGCCGCTTTGATTCTTTTCTGTTGAACATATCTATCTGTTGTCTTCCACATATAATAATACTCAATAATACTTTTTAAGGATTTCCATGGTAACTGCAACACAACAAGGAAATAGTTTAAATATTGGAGATTTAGAATATCATATGCTGACAAGTTTACAATAAGAGTTTTCAAGATTAAGTAATGGTAGTTCAATCAACAACTAAACAAAAATCACAAAATCTTGAAAATATGCACTTCATGACATCCTCCTTCATAACAATCGTTGAAAGTCTGGTAGAAATTCCTAGAGAAATGTTTGAGTAGCAAATGACAGAAACTGATTATGCTAAGCTGAAATGTCCGCTGACATTCAAAATCAAACTCAGACTTTTCAGTTTGAAAATCTTACAAAATAATCATTAAAGTACTTCATACTGATTACAAATGAATGATTATCAAAACTTTTTACTTACCCATGATCCATACCTTTATAGGATACATTGCAATTTTTCATGATTTTAAAGATTTCAGTATCAAAATGCTTTAATCAACAGTCTATAGCCCTATAATCAACATAAAACAGCCAATTTCACATGGCCTCTGGTGAACAGGAGATTTCAAAGAGCAAAATAATCCTTATTCATAATAAAACTTACAAAGTCTTGTCTAATATCATTGAAATCTTTGCCATATTTGTCTAACGCTTCCTCAAATAGGTTTGCTTCTGATGCTGACCATTCTTCCATCTCGTCCCGACACAAGACTGGTCCACCAGGTGGCACTAGACTACCTATAGCTTTCCCTATATCATAACTACTACCATGTAGTGTGTGCATTGCATTGAACTGGAATTACAAAATGTGTGTTGTGTGTTTGTTTGGATTTCGTATACAAAGGTTGTGTCTATTCAAAACACAATAACCAAATATCATTGCATTTTGGCATTGCAAAATAATTTTAATGTACAGAAAGACTGTGTTTTTGCATCAATAAGATACAATTAATAAAGTAAAACTTTGCATGCACAACTGTATGCACAACTGCTAAACTAATACAAGTAGATTTTTTTGTTATTATTTAGGTTACCTCCCTTAGATCACAATTATATTTACCAGTGTTATATTAGATCACAATTATATTTACCAGTGTTATATCTCTACTTGCTGCAGCAGAACTCATATGAAGACTAGGTTGACGTACTGTACTTGTGCAGTCCAGTGCACGTGCAAATGTTCCTACAGATCTGATAAATAAAATATACCATAAAAATACAAAATGGAAGTAACATTTTAAAACGAGACTCATAATTTAAATTGAAATGAACAACCATCTGTTATAAAGATTTAGCATTTTTCCATTAAGAACAATTTTTCTAATAAGTTAAAAGTTCAGTACAACACAAATAAATTTATATGACAAATTTGTCTGCGTTGATCATTTATCCGCTTAGCTTAATAGGGAGAGCTTTGGATAAGTAAATCTGGGGTTGCTTTTTTATCCTTGGGTGAGGCATTTGGTCCCTGTGACAATTGATTTTCAGACATAGTCTAATGGTCACTGTTTCAGAAAAGCAGTTTAAGTGGCTTGATTGCCAAGACATGACCAGAAATGTGTTGAAATTTGTGTAAAAACCAGAAAACAAACAAAATGAACTGGACTGGTCAACTCAATAAAACTTTTTGATAAGCTGTCTCAAAATAAAAATGCTTTAAAATAATGAGCAGCCATCAGAGTAGAATATACATCTATAATGGAGGCATAGATCTGACAATACTGCAGCTATTATTATATAGAGTTAAATAAAAATCAAATGAAAAGAAAACAAACCTTGCTATAACAAGAAACTGGTCTATATTTTTATCTGAAAGTTTACATTCTGGGTCCCATATTAATTTCTCTAACTCCTCCATCTTTCGGCCATCTGTTTCACCTGCAGAGACAATTATCATTTCCAGTATTAACTATTCCTTTACAGTTTTTTGGCCATTTCTTTTGGTTCATATATTTAAAGAAATATCGCAGCATTTTAAGCCCACCTGCCCGGAATACATATTTTTCTCCCAACATTTTTTCTTCATTTATCAACATGCACAGTAAATTGAACAAGATAATTTCCCTATTTAGCTTATTCAATCCCCATTTTTTTCTCTCTCCTATGGGTCTGGACCTCTTTTTCCCCATAAAAAAAATAAAAGAAAAACTGACTCTGTCTGTTTCTAGCATAATCCATTAATCAAGAAAAAATAAGCAAATTCACACAATGTTGTTTAACATACTTTAACAACTATTTGAAGTTCTGATATTAATCATTATCAGTGTACATTTGTACTCACCATCTTTTAATAATGGTTGAATATCACACTGGTATTTAGGTCCCACTCTGATTTCTCCTTTGTCTGCTAGTAAAGTCTTCTGCTGTGGATCATAGACCAACGAATAAAAGAACATATCCTGAAATAATAAAAAGCAATCATAATTAATAACACATTACCTGCTCGCAGCAACTGACTCTACAACTGGGACCAGTTCAGGCCAACATATGTGCCGACTGATCATGCTCTGCACTGTTTGCCTTGCCACATTTTAATGTGAAGTTGGTAATGATAATTAATCCAATTTGTTCTACATGTACAACCATTGATGGCCAAACTTTATTGCTCAAAGATTTTCTTACAATGTTCAATGTCCAGTCAGACATTTTTTAAGCAAGTTATGAATTCATGCATGGGCATCTTTTCATACCATAAGAATAGATTCCAAGCAGGCCAATGACACTGGCTTAAAACCAGGCTACAAGTCTGCATAGCCCTACACTTTGTTATTCTACTTTATCATTTTCATAATTATATCACTCAAACTTTTGACAAAGGCAGTGTTATAACTCCTGTACAATGTTAGCATGATGTCATGAAACTGATAAGAATTTCAATTGCATGCAAATACCATTAACTTTCTAAAATAAAACAAGACCTGTCCACGTACAGTGTGCTCCAATTTTCACAGTGCTGGATAGTAATAAAACAAGGAACATAGGCATTACTCTGTAAAAGTGCTTATCAGACTTACTTGCCCTTGATAGTCAACAAATATTTCAAGTTTGTAGAGAATAACTTTAACAGTTTTTAAGAAAAAGGCAAATACTGGTAACTTTGTAAAAAATTAATTTTCCTTTTAAAATGGTGTCCTTTTATGACAATTAACATGTATACCAAGTTTGACATGAATTGTTTTTATTGTTTCTGAGAAAATGGACCTTAAGGCTTAATGAAAAGGTTAACCAACACTGATGCCAACATAAACGCAGATGAGAGTCACAACAATAGCTCCAAAAGTTAAGTGGAGCTAAAAAAACAGACAGCTTGTATACATGTAAATCAGGATGAGATCACTATTAGCTTGTTGTTGTTTTTTAAGGAAAGTATACATGCCTGCATATAACACTAGTAACAATCAACATAAAGTGCATTATCTACAGCTTGTACAACATCTGTATGCAAATTATTTATTCATTATTGTTTCAAGCTGGAGAGTTATTTCATTTTTTACAGAATATCAACATACTTAATATGAGGAAGATTACCATATGTTCTGAATCAATATTTGATATATTGAAAAGGAGTTTCAACTTCATTATATTTTCTCAAATAGCAACATATTTGATTCACATAAGTTCTGAATCATCTGCTATTTTTTCGTTTAATTTGAATCAATGAGCTGTGAATGACCTATTTCTAAATAGAAATTTTCATTAAAAATCATGCAGTTTTTCCAAAAAATTTAGATATTTTACTTTCCCAAATCAGCAATTTTAGAGATAATTCTTCCCAAAATCCAAACAAGAGAGAAAAACCCCATGGCAGCCATTAAAAAACTTTTCTTCAATTTAGTCAATCAATATTCTTTTGTTGCATGTTAGATAACTTATAACAAGAGCTGTCGGTAGGACAGCAACGCTCGACTATTCTTAGTGCTTGATAGTAAAAACAAGAGCTGTCGGTAGGACAGCAACGCTCGACTATTCTTAGTGCTTGATAGTAAAAAAAATGCTTGATACAATTACCTCCTCCTGTTTACAGGTTGGGGTCATGATGGTGAACAAGTGTGCAAAGTTTCAAAGCCATATGTCAATGGACTTTGAAAATATTTGAACTATTACAAAAACTTTAACATAAATTCTAAGTCGAAAAAGGGGCATAATTCTGTCAAAATGCTTGATACAGTTACCTCCTCCTGTTTACAGGTCGGGGTCATGATGGTGAACAAGTGTGCAAAGTTTCAAAGCCATATGTCAATGGACTTTGAAAATATTTGAACTATTACAAAAACTTTAACGTAAATTCTAAGTTGAAAAAGGGGCATAATTCTGTCAAAATGCTTGATACAGTTACCTCCTCCTGTCTACAGGTTGGGGTCATGATGGTGAACAAGTGTGCAAAGTTTCAAAGCCATATGTCAATGGACTTTGAAAATATTTGAACTATTACAAAAACTTTAACGTAAATTCTAAGTCGAAAAAGGGGCATAATTCTGTCAAAATGCTTGAAACAGTTACCTCCTCCTGTCTACAGGTTGGGGTCATGATGGTGAACAAGTGTGCAAAGTTTCAAAGCCATATGTCAATGGACTTTGAAAATATTTGAACTATTACAAAAACTTTAACATAAATTCTAAGTCGAAAAAGGGGCATAATTCTGTCAAAATGCTTGATACAGTTACCTCCTCCTGTCTACAGGTATGGGTCATGATGGTGAACAAGTGTGCCAAGTTTCAAAGCCATATGTCAATGGACTTTGAAAATATTTGAACTATTACAAAAACTTTAACATAAGTGGTTACGCCGACGCGGACACCAACGCCGACGCTCGGGTGACAACAATAGCTCTACTTATTCTTATCGAATAGTCGAGCTAAAAATGCTTGATACAGTTACCTCCTCCTGTTTACAGGTTGGGGTCATGATGGTGAACAAGTGTGTAAAGTTTCAAAGCCATATGTCAATGGACTTTGAAAATATTTGAACTATTACAAAAACTTTAACATAAATTCTAAGTCGAAAAAGGGGCATAATTCTGTCAAAATGCTTGATACAGTTACCTCCTCCTGTTTACAGGTTGGGGTCATGATGTTGAACAAGTGTGCAAAGTTTCAAAGCCATATGTCAATGGACTTTGAAAATATTTGAACTATTACAAAAACTTTAACGTAAATTCTAAGTCAAAAAAGGGGCATAATTCTGTCAAAATGCTTGAAAGAGTTACCTCCTCTTGTCTACAGGTTGGGGTCATGATGGTGAACAAGTGTGCAAAGTTTCAAAGCCATATGTCAATGGACTTTGAAAATATTTGAACTATTACAAAAACTTTAACATAAATTCTAAGTAGAACAAGAGCTGTCTGTAGGACAGCACGCTCGACTATTCTAAGTGCTTGATAGTAAAAGAGCCTTTATATTGTTTAATTTTTTAAGTTCACAAAAGGGCTAATTTTTTTTTATAAATTCATGTTATAGGCCTAAGAGAGAGTCTAATTATACAGTATTGGCTTGACTATTCGGAAGGTAATGTCACAAGGGTGTTTTATTGAGTATAATAATACTAATTACCTATGAATAAATAAATTTGACAGAAAAGGTACAAAGGCTTGTTATTAAGATGTTTTATCACGTAAATCACTGCTTTATTATTAAGAATGCATAAAATTGTCCCGAAAAAGGCACAAACCCTTCAGTAGTTATTGAGATAACAACTTACAAGAAAAACTTAAGCATGAATTTCTAAGTTGAAAAAGGGGAGAAAAATCAGCCTAAATGCGAGATAGAATTATAGATTTTTGTCAGTGACCTACAATTATGACCCTAAATGCATATGTGAAGTTTTTAATAAATATCTTTAATAGTTATTGAGATATGTAAAACTTGCATGTAAACATTAACCAAGAGACTAAGTAGAAAAGGGGATATGAATCAGCCTAAATGAGACTAGAGTTATGGAACTTGATCAGTGACATACAATTATGACCCTCAAATTATGACTCTAAGTGCATGTGTAAATTTCCAGTAAATATCTTTGAAGACCTTTAATCTTTAACCAAAATTTCTAAGTTTCAAAGGGGCGAATAATTCTGCAAATATTGCAGGCAGAGTTATGCAATTTTGCAAACTGATGTACATTGTTACTATAAAAAAGTATTTTAAATTTCAATTGAATATCTCAAGCAATAATTGAGATATTTGACTTTACAAAAAAACTTTAACCAAAATTTCTAAGTTCCAAAGGGGCATAATTCTGTTAATATTGTAGGCAGAGTTATCCAACTTGTCAATCTGATGCACCTTGTTACTATAAATAAGTATTGTAAGTTTCAATTGAATATCTCAAGCAATAATTGAGATATTTGACTTTACAAAAAACTTTAACCAAAATTTCTAAGTTAAAAAGGGGCATAATTCTGTCAATATTGTAGGCAGAGTTATCCAACTTGTCAATCTGATGTACCTTGTTACTATAAATAAGTATTGTAAGTTTCAATTGAATATCTCAAGTAGTAATTGAGATATTTGACTTTACAAAAAACTTTAACCAACGCAGACGCCGACGCGGACACTGACGCCGGGGCGACTACAATAGCTCTCATATTCTTCGAATAGTCGAGCTAAAAAGGGGCATAATTCTGTCAAAATGCTTGATACAGTTACCTCCTCCTGTCTACAGGTTGGGGTCATGATGGTGAACAAGTGTGCAAAGTTTCAAAGCCATATGTCTATGGACTTTGAAAATATTTGAACTATTACAAAAACTTTAACATAAGTGGTTACGCCGACGCCGACGCGGATGCCGACGCTCGGGTGACTGCAATAGCTCTACTTATTCTTATCGAATAGTCGAGCTAAAAATTGTATATCCAAATATTTCTTGGCAATTTGAATATTTTCAATTATCGTTTTGAAATATACATGATTGTATATACCAATTAAATTTCTAAACAGTCCCCCTATTTTCATTTATCTTTAGTTATAAAAGTTTAAAACACAGCTGAATCTTGGGACATTGTTTTATCAAAGTTAAAAGTTACATTACAAATTCTAAGCTATTGTTTTTTATTAAATATATCTAAATGTTTCCTACATCTAGGTTTTGAGTTTAATAAAATTTAAGCTACGATTCTGCATTTATAGGTAGATCTTTATGCTAAAGCAAGTGCACATAATGTATTATAAATTCTTATTCATATTTGAGCCATGTGAAACAATTAATATTAAGAGGATAATTTTTCGTTTGAGTGAAATATGGAATATATTTTCACGAAACATGATAAAATGCCACATATGTGGCATTTTATCATGTTGAGTGAAAATATATACCATATTTCACGAAAAACGAAAAAATAACCTTTTTATTTAATTTCATTATCAAAGAAAATGGTAACGAATCCCCTTGCTTGCTACCAACTGCAATTGTACAGCGCGCAGTAATTTATGCGTAAGCACGCGCTGCTTGGCGCAACATTGTGACGTCATGTAAACAACTCTTTAAACGTCTGTACAGCGTCAATTACTGAATAAAAGATATTGGCGTTCGGATTAATTTTCTTAGTTAGACCATTTTCTATCATTCTAGACAGTTTTCAAAACAAAATTCAAGAAAAAGTTGTTTTGAATTTATCAGATTTTTCAAAGAAAACGGCGAAAGAAGTCCGTTAAAATCAATATGAGTTTTGACTCCGCCCACTTTCATATTTATTTTTCATATTTATTTTTAAAAAATATGAAATATATTTGACTGATATAGCACCATATTTCATGGGTAAAATTAAATAAATATCTACATTTATATATCTAGAGATCTAACAAATCACTAAGGACCTATTTAATCAATAGTTCCTTACCTCTCTGTCCAAGTAGGATGTCATGGACTCGGTTTCGTTGAGTAAAGTGACTGTACATTTCCCCCGTATGTGTGTAGCTGGCAAGGTTTCCACTTGTCGAGACAAGAAGAGCTCCCGGTGTTTAAGCTGGTGTCGCTGTTTGTCCGAGACCTCACTGTCTTGTTCTTCCTTTTCTGTCTCATCGTCTAATGTGCCGTCTGCAAAAACTACAAAAAAACAAAAGCTCAAAATTAATGCCGCGTTTCAGCTCTATTTTAATGGGGGAATGGCCCATATTCGGCCCCATATTTTACTAAACAATAGCCCTATGCCGCAGCCATTTAATGGCGAGGGCATAAAAAGACATGACATGTTTGTAGGTTGCAACCTTCAATTATAATTTTCAACCGATGTATAAATTTATTTTTTTTACAAGTTATTTATTTATCATCCTTAAATAAAATAGATAACCACAAGAAATGATGTTAGCACTGTATTTTGATATATTCTGTACATTAAAACGTATTTATAGTAATAACTTAAAATGGATTGACAATTTTATATATATGTTAATCAGGCATTTGATTTTAAAATGGTAACAAAACTTTTATTGTTCACTTTTTTACATTAATATAAAAGCGAAGAAACTTTTCATTGCACTTAACCTTAATAAAAATTATGTTATTCCCCATTACCAAAAGTAATGGATTTTTTTTTTTATGAAACATTCATTATTGCAAACTCAGACTTGTTAGTATTAAAACTAAAACAAAAATATTGTTGACATTTCCCAATGCAGTCTCAATATTTCGACTGCAAGACCGACCAATTTTATTATCTGATATTTCATAGATGTCTGTCTTTACAGAAGGGAAGGGCGACCACTTTTTTGGCGCTGCCCCCATCCAAAAGATACATCAGGGGGTTGCCAGAAGGGGGATGTGCCCCCTTCTGTTTGCGGGGGTTTGAAGGGGGGCAGAGTCCCCCTCATCGCCAAGAAAATTTTGGACTTGTGAGAGGCTTAAAATGACCCCAGGTCGATCATAAGGTAACGTGTAACCAACGCTGAAAAGCCTTTGACTCTATCTCAATCCCTTGAGAAGTTGCAGCACTTTGAAATAAATTTTGATGGAAAAAATCGAGACAAAATAGTAATTTTTGGCAATTTTGAGATGTCCGCTCGTTGCCATGGTAACAGGAAATTTAAGACTGAGCATGTCGTTACAGAGGCAATAGTCCAGTCAAGATTTGTGCCAAGTTTGATTAGTATTAAAGCATTTTTCATAGTTTCATAGCAGTTTGAACTTGTAAGAAGGCTTTTCAGTGAAAATGGCCATTTTTCACAATATGCTCATGGGGGAAAGGGTTAATAAGCATAAAGTTGGGTGAGACTTCACATCTGTTTCAAAACATTTATAAAATATTAAAGGTTTTGCAAATCTGAATGAAGATTTTAAAGAAAACAGCATCAACTAAAAAATTACCAACTTAAACATCCAAGTAATATTTTCTGTAATATAATTAAACTGTAATACCCAGTCAACAGTCTGACAATACTGAAATCTGCTAATACTTTTCATAGCCAGAAAGGCAAAATATTTCAGCGGAATGTCAACAAAATATTTAGCTCAATTTTACATTTTAGTGCTTCTGACATATAGTAAATTGCAATTTTTATGTATTGACATGTACATCTTTATGTAACATTTTAAAAGTCTTTATATGAATACCTGCACAATCATCACTGTTATATTTCACCTTAAATAAAAGGCCTCTTCAGCAAAAGCAATCTTCCCAAAAATCTGAACTTTCACCAGTTACAACACTATTCACTCGAAGAGTTAAAGATATACTTGGCTCATCTTTTAGTATAATATTTTTATTGCAGAAATTTATATAACTTTAAGTACATGAAATTCTTACTAATTATGTCTAAATGAATAATAGAATGCACAAACTGTGTATTGGAAACTGCATTCCCAATTACTAGTCGAGCAAAGTTGGACATTTCTTAAAAAAAAACTGCCAGCTTATTTAATTACACTATGTCTACCTGTAGTGTGTAGAGTTCAAAACATATACCGGTATATACATATACTCTGTGTGTAATCAAAACATGTTAATTTGACCTTTACAAAGGAATTGTGTAGCAATTTCCAATATTTTCAAATATCAAATTTGAGCCTAATACATCTATAAGAATCACACAAAAAAATCGATTTTCAATTTAAGTCCAAGCATTTTTCTTTATTATCCTTTCAAATGGTAGATTTTTCCATTTAACTTGATTTATGTGAGAGTTATATTTAAGGCTTTTTGACCTCAGCAAAGCTATTTCAGGGATCATGTATCTGGGTCACCTAGTCTCTCTTCATTTCGCATAGCCCTATTTTCACTGGAGAAGAAGTCATTTCTCCCTAAAAGTTACTAGTCTCTAAGTATTTTGTCAGTAGTTTTTAATATCTCTGTCAGTAGTCTTTATGTGCATTCCCTATTTTATCATGAAAATGAGTATTTCACAAACATTATTTGAATTCTGATATTTCCACATTCTAAACAACAAAAGCTGTCCGTAAGACAGCGCGCTCGACTTTTTTATTGCTTGCCAATAAAAAAAGTTTTTGCAGTAAAAGGCAATACAAGAATCTCTGTATTTTTAAAGTGAACTAGTTGTTTGATACCCTTGAATATTACAGCAATGTTTATATGACATAATTTATGGTAAAGTGAACAAGTGGATAGGAATGAATTTTTTTAGATTTTTTAAGTTTTTTAGTGCTTGCCTATAATACAAAACATTGACAGTTAAGGGCCATAATTCAAATAAAATCTTTGACAGAATTACCTTCTCCTGGACATGTTTGGGAATCATGATTGTAAACAAGTATTCCAACTTTCAAATTAATATCTCAAACAGTTCAGTCAAAAAGTGGACTGGTACTAAAAACTTAACCAAGATTCTAAGTCGATAAAAGGCCTTAATTTTTAAAACAAATCCTTGACAGAGTTACCTTCTCTTGCGTACAGATGGGGGTAATGATGTGAAATAGCATTAAAAGTTTCAAAGCAATATCTCAAAGGGTTAAGGCAATAAGTGGATTTTACCCATATTCAATGTATTTTCTAAGTCAAAAAGGGGCATAATTCTGTCAAAAACCTTGACAGAGTTATGTCCTCTTGTCTGTTGATGAAGGTCGTGATGGTAAACAAGTATGGTCAGTTTCAAAGCAATACCTCCAATGGTTTTGAAATAAAGTGAGGTGGTACAAAAAACTTAACCAAGCTCAATACACTTTCTATGTCAAAAAAGGGCCATAATTCTGTCAAAAACCTTGACAGAGTTATGTACTCTTGTCTGTAGATGGAGGTTATGATGGTGAACAAGTATGGTAAGTTTCAAAGCCATACTTGTAATACTTCTGAAATAAAGTGGGGTGGTACGAAAAACTTAACCAAGGTGTGACGCCAACGCCGACGCCGGGGCGAGTAGGATAGCTCCCCTTTTCATAGAAAAGTCGAGCTAAAAATAAATGGCAAATGAAACATGCATAATGCAGCATTCAAATTGTGGTACATCTGAAATCACATAGATTCATACAGACATTTGTCATTTTTCCAGTATAATAATTACAAGTTACAAACCTCACTTACTTCAGCAATTTAATATTATACAATACAAATTACTGATACTAATATTTTAAAGTGAAATAGGTCAAATATATGTCTGCACTGGAGATTAATCTGTAAACAATTCTTGATTGAAATATTGGTAATCGAGTTTGATTTCTGGTTTCACTTTCAAAAAGTTAAATAAATCATGTATATATTTTGAATAAATAGGGACTTGTTAGCAATTATATTTCAATCACTTGTTTGTTATTGCTTTCTTTGTAGAAAAATTTTTAAGTTCTAACGAAACTTAGTTGTTGTGTTTTTTTTTTTTTTTTTTTTAATGAAAATCACTTCTCAGTGTTTGGTAACCGAGAGACAACGCTAGTTTCAACCACAGCTAATCTGTGAATCTTCGAGTGTGAACTTGCCTGATCATTATTTTTCATCTACATCATTCTCTACTTCGACAAACTTCAAAGAAAACAAGGTGGGGTTACATGTCCCAAAACATAATTATGTCACACATTCAAAATCAGAACGCTGTCATTGGTAAAGTGCCTGCAATACTGACACTGATTGACAGGTTTATCCAGAGATTTTATGTCATTCATTGATAGATAAAATAAATTTGTTGCTTATTCCTTGACAAATATTGAAAGTCAATGAAATACAAATATGTTGGACTAATCATCAATTGATGTAATTATCCATTAGAATGCTGGACACTTATTCAGATGATGTATAGCTATAAAATTGCTAAAAAAATACAAAGTGCAGGGATCACGTTTCTAGGCGACTTGGGCGACAAAGTCGCCTTGTCTCTCTCCATTTCGCCCGGATCACTTAGAAAAGCGAAAACAAATTGCCCTGGTTTTCAATAAACGCTTGCAATAAATTTTGAAGTGTCAAGCAGCTCAGTAATCGTCTACGCTCCTCCTATTTCAAAGCGATTTGTTAAACGCATTTTAATTGGTCGGTTAAATTGGAAAGCCAATGAAACGCAGCGAGACAATTTAGCGAGTGATGGAATTTAATGGTTGACATCTTTGGGTATTGTCAAATGCTGACTTATTATCAATAAACAACAAATAAACCGATTAGCGGCGATTCATGTCAATTAGGATTAATTGGGGCATACTTATTGCATTAATTAGTCGATAAGTTTAGTGATCTTATTCACACATTTTCTCTTTACAAAAGCGTGTCGCCAAAAGTGTTGGTCACATGTATGTTTTGATGTTTACAAATGTCTCAGCAATTTGGTAAATGGATCTCTGTTATAAATGTCGATGAGGATTTATCCCTTGATTATTATTCTTTAAAAGAACTTTTGTTAGAACTTTTACAAGTAAACAACGAATAAAACACTGATGTCCTTTGCTAGCGGGTAACGGGAGAGGGCGAAAAGACCGGTTGTAAGCGTAAAGCAAATAGTAACACCAACTAGATCTAATGCATTATGCAGAAAAAGTCCACAGAGGAAAAAATAAACTATCAACTGTACACACGTTACATTTTCTTTAAAAACAGAAAAAAAAACATCCACATAAACCTGAACTTTGACTCTGCACTGCCGTGGAAAATGATGAAATATAGGGGCCTACTTGTGATTTACTAAAAAAAAATTTTTATATTTCAGCTCAACATCACATGGCTGAAGCATTAAAATCAAAACAAGCTACACAAAACCTATGATAAAGATGATATAGAGGAAAAAAAAGACTGCCACATTTGTAATTTTGCTGAACATTTATTGTTATGAGTTACTTAATAAACTGTTATGTACTCCACATAATGTTAGTCAATCTTAAAACTTAGTATGAAATGGTACATCAACACTTCAAAAAAAAAAATGCAGTTTGTATGCACTTCTCCTTGTCCCTAAAAACTTCTCCCTATTTTCACTGGAGGGAGAAGTCACTTCTCCCTCAATTTTAGGGCTAGCGTGATCCCTGAAGTGTACCGTAAAAAGATGTTTTAATGATTCAATCCCACAGCGAGAGATCAAGAGACATGGCAGAAAATTGGGGTATTTTGTACCCTGGTGGGGGATATGGCATACATGTTGTACTAGTATATTCATGACAGGGTAGTTCAAGTAAAACAGTCATGGAACCATAATCGTTATTATTCAAAGTATCCAAGATTTTGCTGAATCTCCAAGTTGTCAGTGATAGAAATAATGGTTTATTGGTAAATGCTGACATTCTTATAATAAATATTCCTCTTAATTCATACAAGTTACAGTATTTTAAGCTTCTAAGCCTATAATTCCTCCATTTCAAAGCCAGACATAGCTTATCTTGTGAAATGACTATTTTTTTAAGCTTTTTTCTCAGCATCTTAGTAAAAAAAAATCATTATCACTTAATTCATAGTTACCACATGCCAGAATCTCATATCTTATTTACAGTTCCAGATATATCAGCCATTAAACAAATATCAACAAAATTCGGGTTTGGGCTAAGTATTTTCAGTGTTGGTATTTTGACAATAACAGTATAATGAAATTAAAAACTTTAAAATGATGAAAAAAATCTGCCCGAATAACTCGACAAAAATATTTGCCCACTGTGATCATCAAAATACTAGTCTACTGAGAATTTCAATACAAAAAATGATTTAAAACAATTAATCTACTAATTTCTATCAAATATGGTCACTATTTATTAATCTTAAAAGAAAACTTGAAAAAAAAATCCATTAACATCTAGAAAAGATGACATTAGAAGTTATACAAATGAGTGTCAAGTGTTACAAGTTATAGTAAACATTGTAGTAAAAGTTGTATGAATGAAAAACTTTCCACCAATCAGAAAATAGGACAAAAGGGACTATTTTCGCTCTAGTATCATTTCAAAAGTTGGAAAACTGTATAAGACTTTCTTTTCTATTGATATTTAACTATCTTAGACCATTTAATTAAAAATGAACATGAACTTCATCTCCCCTCTATTGTAATAATGTGTCCTCTGCTTACTACTTACTTTGGTGCTTATCAGCAAGAAGTGTTAGTGAACTTGATATGTCCCTTCTTCTATAAAAACACATAACCTTTGCTTCAACATTGCCATTTGGTGTCTGTAATAACAAACAATATACATGTACTATACACTGCAGCTTTACAGTTTCAAGTGAGTAATCAATAATATGATATCAATCTATTTTAATAAGAATTTCCCCCATAAGAGCCCCAATTAAGTAAGTTTGCACAAAAAGAGAAACTGAATCTAGAGTTGTTCAGTAAATACTGAAAGGCAAGGAGAAAGCATTTGTACCTTATTCAATTCTTCTATCCTTCTAATCTGGTAAGGTGCAGTTGATGCGGTTTCAAAGAAGACATAATCTGAAAGTAAGGAAAAAAACTCTTTGTGAAAAAAAATTGTCAAAAAGTAGTTCCTTATTTCAAACAAAGTATCAAGAATGAAAAGCGTCGTAATTTTATATCTAGTGTTGATAGAAATGTCAGTTCAGAAGAATCTGAACATTTGATAACTATATATGATTTATTGAATTAAGTTTTTGAGTGTTAAAAAGAAAAAAATTCAAACTATACTACGACCTAATAACGCCTATCAGGGTACCCCGCTTACACGCCGGTATCAAACTTGTACTTTTAAGGGTTAATTTACTAATTGCACTAAATGCCTGAGTAAAATTGCAGCTATAAAGCACCTTTCAGTTGATAAAGATATTAGAAAGTACGTAATGTAGCTATCTTTTAGCAAAATAAACTTATATTCATCCGCCCTTCTCCAACAATGGGGGTCCTCTTCTCACGCTTTAATGAAAAATGTGCTTACCTCCTACTCGATACATATTTGCCGCCATTTTTGAATATAACTTGTTTTTGTTTATTCACATATATCCAAAATGAATATATTTTTAATCCAATTAGGAAAATATCACAACTGGGTCGTGTCCATTCCAGTCACCCCTCACGACATTTCACGAAGTCGCCATTTCTCTTGGCCTAATGTCTTCCTCCTCGTTTCACACATGACGTCATCCGTCCTTCGGCAGCGTTCAGTTTTTGATTTCAATACACACTTTAGTGATGACTCTGTGTAGACATAAGGCATGTGGGGTGTCTATCAATTGGTCAGAATCGTGTCTTTAATTTGGTGTTAATATAACAATATCAAAACATCACTACGAGAAACAAAGTAACAGAAACTAATTTTTATTTTGTTAATTAACTATTTCAGAGATAATTAGTGATAAGATCAGTAAGGCCTAGTATCGGATTATCAGCTGAGGCCCGTATCGGTGGAATTTATATATATAAGTGTAATCATATCGTATCGGGAACACGTGTTTGAAAATGCCTGTAGTCAATTTAAATTTGACTTAGAATAAAAATGGACAAAATACATGTATAAATTGGCACCTATTGATCTTATTATTTCCAATATATAACTAATTAAATATTTTTTATTGATCGTGAAAGAATAGTTTAATAAAAATATCAAATGGAATATATATTAGACCTGAAAAAAATATTGGTTCAAAATTATTGAAATAGGGGGCCTACTTCGATTTAATTTCATTGAATAATAGATCGATAGGGCCTACGTAAAAAAAGTCATTTATGTAGGCTCAATGTCTTGATAAGCATGATCATTTCGTTGCAATAGTCAAATATTACGGTAATATTTCTAACATCGGCGAAAAGTAAAATATAAACCTTAAACATCTTAGATGTACAATTATAATCCAAGGAAAAGTACATAAGGATCCAACATAATATTGGTCAAAAGTGCCATAGACTACAATTAATCGTATACATGTATTTATTACAAGACTATTCACTAGAAGCTGCCAACTTCTCTACAAACTTGAATCAGTGTGGGGGGAAATTAAGGATAATGTAATTTGTTATTGCGATATCCGCACAAAATAAAATAAAAGGAATAAAAATAAAGGGATGCCACCGTGGGTTCCATTTAATGAAGTTCTTGACTGGACTTTTGTAGGCCTACTGTACTCATTTGCATTGAAAATGCGCACTTGCATGGTTACATGAATATTTTGTGTATTTTTAACCCCACACGACACAGCTACACAGGACCGCCAGCAAGAAGCCCAGCAGAACCCCAAATAATAACAAGACAGGGTACGTGGGTAAAAAAAAGTTGCAGAATTGTACTTTTTGTAAATTGGATACTTGATTTTTATAAAAGAATGGAACATCATTAAATCCCCATTTCATTATGACGTTACGTCAGGTCAGTGCAGTCTCGAAAGCTTTCGTAAATCCATTTACAAGATGAACACATCAGATACTGATCACGAAATTGGATAAAAAATCAATACTTTTCGCCCTTTTGCTACTGAAACGATGTAAAAATCCTGACAATGTCCAAAATTCAATACAAGCTTTACTAGTAGAGGAAGACCTCGGGTGCCCTTCCGAGCATTATTTCAGGCACGAACGGGCACCTGAGTAGAACCACCGACGTTCCGTAAGCTAGCTGGAAAGCTTCCTCACATGAAAGAATCCAAAGTCCCTGTCGGGATTCGAACCCACCGCGGTGATGGGCAAGTGGTTTGAAGTCAGTATTATTGTGTAAGTATAGACTTCTTTCATATTACCGCGTTGTTATATCGAAATTCTTAAAATTTATAAAAAAAAGCCATTTTAGAATCTACACTTTCAATTTTTATGACTGTTCAATATGTCACATCAATATGTCTTATTCAAATGAAAATGATATACATGTTTGGGCCTACTGCGGATATTTATATATTTAAAACCTTAGGTTGTTTTACACCTCCGCAATTTCATCAATCTTCTGACAGAAACAAATTCCATATATGAAAGAAGTCCTTTAGGACACAGATTTCAAGAAGAAGTTATAAAATTCCCGAGGTCTTCAGGGATATATATCATATAAGTAAATGAATTGTTTATTATATATAGTGACATATAAATGATATATATGTGATATTTCACCGTTTGGAAAGCAAAGATTTAGGTTGTTGCCGAGAGGTGTTGCTCAGTTTCGGAAGATTTGTTTTGTTTTTGTGTTAAAGAGATATTGCTTTGAACAGGGTCGCTCTGTAAAGGTGACCCTTTATCAGGGTATGACTGTATATGGATAATGTTCAGGGTCAGAGTATATGAATATGTTCAGAAAACATGAATAATGTTCATTGTATATGGATATATTCAGAGTAAGCCCCTATATACCCTGATAGGACATGTAAAGATATAGGGAACCATCATGATACACAGCCTATGTAGTACAAGAGTAGCAAATATGATATAAATTAGAAGTACAGAAGTCGGACTTGAGCTTCATACTAAGACACTTGGTATCTTAATGAAGAAGCGCAGATATAACATTATATATTCGAAAATTCTATGACCAAGTATCTTCATGACTTTGCATCAGGAAAAGTTGTTCAAACTTTGTACTGAGAATCCATAAAACATCCAATACCAGTACGCATAACTTTTGCCTCACAATACAAATACGTGATTCGTAACTTAGTCTTAAAATACAAATTTGTATATGTTTTGCACTCTTGCAATAAGATACGAAGAAATATTGCGACAAGTTTTGCGCTAAAATATATACACCAGGGATTGCTAATGCCACCATAAAATATCGAAAAGGATTTTAACTACTGATGATGAATATCTAAATTTTCTACAAGTTTTAATGTTTGACCCTACGTTGGGAAAAGAGAAGTCGTTTCAACACGTATTTATAACACCAAAGTGGTACCGACGTCTAAGAATTTTCATTTTAACTCTTACTTAACAGATGCATAGATATAGGATCTATTGTCATTCAAAACCTTCGTGTTGCATGCGTGCTTCATAAAAACTGACGTAACCCATAGACCTCATAGTTAAACGGTCGTAGTGCTAATGTCTTTAACAAATAAAACCCATATAAGAACAAATAAAGAGTTCATTAATTAATCTACGGAAGGAACACAAGTTTTGATGAGCTGAAGGCCGAAGAGCTTCTTAAAATACCACCGTACATGGGATTGCTTTGCAAACAATTATAAATGTGTAACAGAGATGATATTAGTTGCATTTCTTATAACCCTTTGGGATTAAAAATTTCAGTGTCATATTCCAGTCGATTTAAAGATCAAAAGAATAATTTGCTCTGGTTCAACGATGCAAAATGCGTTTGAAAATAGGTGGTGAATGTGTCATTTAAAGAGGCTGAATATACATTTCAGAAAACTCAAAGCTGGATGACTACAAGAGATTTGTAGAGTACTGTTCAGATACACCGCCATATCGCTTATCAGTTAATAAATTAAAATAAAGAATAAGCAACTTCTGAAAATAGTGCTGTGATATAAAATAACCAAAAAGAGAACACTACGAACATACAAATATGTCAGTATTTGCGAACACAAAATCAGCTGATAGCGCCCTGTGAGATGGATAAAACGTCATGTGACGCCTTCAGTTTAAGATGGCTCATGGAATGGAAAGGTTATTACATCTCTGTTGGATATTCATATCCGCAATGACCACAGAAATACACAGTCCCATACTCAACAAAACAATGTTAGCTCTTCATCTAGAGACATTCCTGGTGAACACTCACCTATATTCAAACAATTATTTGGGCCAAACTGTGAAACTGTGTTCAAGAACATGCCAATAGAATTAAAATACTTGTTCATTCGTCAAATCTATCTGTCTATAAGATATGAGGGACCTACTATTAATTAGAAGAGTTCGAACCCCTAATACTGAATATTCTTTCTTTGTTGATTTGATTGAAGACAGCCTAATACTTTACTGAATATCTTGGCTCTCCAAAGCGGATTATAGTGAAATGTCTGAAGATATTGGTAGTTAGTAGTTATTGGGGTGGGGGAAGGTTTAATTACCACTCCTACAAAATTTACCCAATACAAGATCTGATTTCTGTCCAACAGTGTATGGCTGAAGTACTGGTCGACACATATTATGCCTCGGAAACGAGTACCATTTTTAGCTTCTTTAGGAAGGGCAAACATGAGTTTTGTAATGTTTAAATTTTGTTTTTAGAGCATGTTGGATGCTTATTTTTACCCGGAAAGAAAGTAGTGCTAAATGTGAACATATTTGTCATTCAAGTACCAAAATGTAAAAAGGGTTGACTTGTATTTTGACTTCCAGACAAAAAACCTAATCACTATAACTGTACTAATTCCTAGAAATCAACAGAAGCAAAATATGATTTAAGTAATAGGCCAATGGGTAACGGTTTGGAAACTTTTAAACAGGACATCAACTGTAAAAAGTTTTTGAGAAAATAAGAATAAAAGCATTTCTGGGATGGAATGTGTTTTTGCTATGAGCACGACAGGTACAGATGCATGGTGGTCGCGACAGTTGCTCGTTCAGGAAAGATATTTTTTTTTACCTTACGTTATAAATTTAGTTATATTTGATAATAATAGAATAAAGTCATAACGAGGAGCAGCTACGAGGAGACTTCAGTACAACAAATAAGAAGCCGCAGTGCAAAAGACGTTTATAACATGTATTATACTTTGGTTGAAGATGACGGCGTAAACAACAACAACAACAACAACAACAACAACAATAACAACAACAAAAGAAAAGACAGTCTTGCATGACCGCAATTAAAACAAGATTAAATGCATTTTACTTATATACATTATCGTCTTCGAAATAAGGTTCACTATTTTTTTTTCAAACAGAACAAAATTTTAATAATAGATGGAGATCGAGACTAGAAAATTGTTTAGCAGACGACAGAAATTTTTCTCATCTCTTCCCAATTTTAACCAATTTTATCACATTAATTTAAGCATTACAAGTATTTCAAAATCTGGTAAAATAAAATAAAATATTTGTCTTTCTAGATCATCCAAAAGCTGAATTTAGCAAGTGAGAAGACAGAGAAGTGAGATAATTTTTTTTCCACAAAATCATCAATAACTTGAATTTCCCCATCCATTATACGATTTTTAATTAAAGTGCATTTTTCACCAACGAGTCTTACTTTTAAAG